CAACACTTTGCTTTTTCACCTTAATGTTCTGCTTTAAGTATGCTGAATCCTAAAGCATATTCTATTTTGAGAGCATGCTAGCTTTTGTCATGTTTATAAATCAAGTCCTCAGCAACCTGAAAGTAGAGTGATGGTTAGTGTCCAAGGCTGCAAATCAGCTTAGCTTGCTTGCTGATAGATATGACAGAAACACGTGTCTGCAACTAGTAATTTTCTCTTGCTAGGACATTTTTAGGGGCAAAAAATCAGATTTCAACACATCCAGTTGAAAATCTCTCTCAGACATGTTATTTACATCTTCTTAACATACTGTTCTGGGGCTGTTAGTGTAGAAAGAGCAGGAATAACAATTTAAACCTTACTGAAATCGAGCAAATTGGATTGTGGCGGCTAAGTTCAAGTGAAAGCTCCTTGTAAATGAAGAGCTTACGACTATTTGGCTGGCAGAAAGCCATGTGATCTTACTCATCTAATTCGCAGGAGACTTCTAGATGGTGACAAATCCTACTGCTCCACAGGCTGCACGTGTGCAGGTGCAGAATCACAGAGGTACTGCAATGAAGAGTGAGGGATGAACAGCAAGGAGGGAAGACAGGATGCTGCTGCTCTGTTGTCAGTGCTGCCATTTGCTCTCCCCATGACAATTCTGTGACTGTAATTTTCACTCTTATTTATCACCTTAATGTCAAAGACTCGGGAATGATGGGCTCAGCTCCCAGTGTGGTTGGTACTTTGCAAACACGGAACAAAAAGGCAATTTCTGCCTCTAACTCCAAGCTTGCCATGTAAGAATAAGATACAACCCAGCAGGATGCAGACAGCTAAATAGGAATATGTGGGATCCAGTGGAGACATTATGCTTCCTATCAGAGGCAGGTTGCTCCAGCTACCAGCAGTCTAGCTGGCTGACAACATTTATAACATGTATAAGGAGATATCAGACAGACAGACAGACAGACAAATTTGCATGCAAGTGAAAGGCAAGTCCAGATGAGGAAGGGCAGCATTTTTATGGAGAGAAGGCCAGAAGGAGATACTGGGGACTCTTGGTTTTAGTCCAAGTCCTGTTTGTGGTGTGAATTTGAGTGAATGTCTTACCCTCCTCTACTCTCCTTGTCATTCAGCTACCTGTACAAGGTAAGGGTAGTGTTAATGGGATAGTATGAGGTTTGACTGATGCATGTGGGCGTGCTTAGACACTGGAGCATGTTGCCCAGGGAGATTGTGGATGCCCCAGTCCTGGCCGTGTTCAAAGCCAGGCTGGATAAGGCCTTGAGCAACTTGGTCTAGAGGTAGGTGTTCCTGCACGTGGCAGCAAGGGTTGGGGATAGATGATCTATAAGGTCTATTCTAATTCCTTAACATTCTGTGATTCTATGATTCCATGATTCTATGTACAGGGCTTAGAAACTTCTGCATGATTCTATTATCAAAGTGGAAAATATTATTTTCCCTAATCTTATATATTCTTTCTTTCTCAAATTACTTTGGTAACTAGAGATTCTTCCACTTCCAGACACCAGCTATTGCTTCACTGCAGATACAAAAAAACCCCCCTAAACTAGCTTCATGAGCTTCAAGAAACTTTGATACTATAAAGGAACAGCCTGAAGACCCTGAAGTTGTGGGGGCTGAAGATCTCTTCAGTTTCCATTCTGAAAGACAACTTAATCTAACCAAACATCTCACATACATTAAACCAACAGACTTTCAGTGGTTTCCCAGGTTACAGTTCATTAATGCCTCTTTCACAGAGGACCAGAAAGCACGCTAAAGTGAGGGCACTGCAGGTTTCATTGTTGTGTGGTGCTGGCAGAGAACTTGGTTCTCATACAGAAAATTAGACAGGCCATGGTACTTCAAGTATTTTTAACTTGTGATCTGATGAGAGTTTTAGAAATAGGAGAGCTGGCATGAAGGACTGCACTTAAATTCACAGTTCATAGCATAAGGTAGTGCTTTTTCAAGCTTATGGCATCTAACAGCCACTGTAATAAACACCCACAGGTGGGGAGGATTGATTTGCTGAGCACTCTGCTGGACTCCTCTTTCTAGAACACGCATGCTGACAGGCTTTCCAACTACAGGAGGGACGGCTTGAGGCCTGAAGGACTGCTGGAAAACTGGCATTGTGGGCTAAGGCCCCTACCCAAGTGTGCAGTCATGGAAAACAAGCACCCTTAGCACTCTCCCCACCCTAATCCAAAGAAATATCTTCACATGATGATGTGCTACTTAAAGGTCAGGGGGAGACTGGGGAGATTTTCTGCATTTGTATGCATCCAGAGGACCTGATCTTGAAAGGTACTCCCTGTGGGAAAACCACAGCATCTGCACAGGGCTGCAGCAGCCTCAGTGGCCACCTCGTTGATGCAGTGTTCCGGACATACAGAGCATCTTCCAAGGACCAGGGTGATCAGTAACCAGTCTAGAAGCTGAGACTGCTCATCTGCTAGAATTAGTGCTTGTCAGACTAACTCATGCTGCTTCTGTGGTCCCTGTACTCTGCTCCCTGGTTGTGTCTCACCAGCTGTCTTGTTTTAGCTCTGGGGCCATGCAGCTTTGATGGTCAGTGTTTAATAGTGCCCAACACCACAGGCTCCACACCACAGGCTCCAGCACAGTATAACCATTGATTAACAGGAGTAACAGAAACAGGAAGGTGCAGCATTTGTCAGGCAGGAGTGCTGGTGCTTGGTGCTGTTTTGAAAGAACTGCATAGCAATATACACCTAATAGCCTGCGTTTGACTTCAGAGACTCTAATAACTAAGCTTCACAGTGATTAAAAGCTACTGAAGGAAAAGATGAGTGTGGAAAATGAAAACAGACTTCCTCAATTTATTTTCCAGCTGTCCTGGAAGGAGGAAAAGAGATCTTGGTAGAAACTCTCTAAAAGTATATTCCTTCCCCAGTTACTTTCCTGGATTTGCTGATGGATGGGACAGCTCACTGCAGAGGTTATTGGTACATTCAAATGTCAGTTTCACAAGCCTATTATTACTCGAATCTGTGGGATAATTAATGCTTGCATGAGAAGTTAATGAAGGACAAAGATTTTTTACTGCTGATGGTCTCCGTGAAACAACTGTCTGGAACATATGAAAAAGCTATTGTGAGTAACAAATTACCATTACAGAGAACCAGATGAATATAAATCTTTCTGAAAAGGTGACATGCTCTTTATTTTGTGGCTTTTATTCTAACACTGACCCTATGGTCCATGTGCAGTATCTCCCTGATGCACCTGTTTGGCTTCTTGGTGGGCGTCTGTACATTCAGTGTCTCATCATTATGCAGTTCTGACAGAGTCCCATTTACCTGCCACCTGAGGCTTGTTCTTCTCTCTAAAAACTCCTCGTCTCTAGTGAGTCCAACCTGACTGTGTCATACGATCCCTGAGCCAAATGTGACAGCAGCATTTTAAGCGATATTGATGTCCTTGTGTGTCACTGATCAAACAAATGCCATGTACCCCTCACCTGTGCAATATGTTTCTGTACAGTGCTGCCAACTTGAGCTTTCATTTGGGTGGTAGCTTTATCTCCCTATTGGCTAAGGGCCAGCAAATCTTTGGATATAGGCTTGGAGATAATTTAGCTCCCATCTAGTAAATCAGACTGGATGAGAGTGTTCATCAGAGCACAAATCCTGCTTGAATTCAGGCAATCTAAGAGTAACAGGATAGAGAAATGTAGGTCTGGATAACACCATTTACATCATCTTCGGATGGGATTGTGTTTGCTACTCAGTTTAGAATGAAATGTGACATACAAGCTAGATATCATCAAAACCAAGTATCTTTCATCTTCTGTTGCATATTTAAGAAGATGTTATATAAAATGGAATTGCTTTTCCTTCTGAGAAAAAAGTAATAATTTCTGCTGAGTTCTACTTGGCTGTTGATAAAATGACTTTCCATGTGGTTCATGATTATCTGGCTGGCTGAGTGTGAGTTGATCTTCATTCCATCAGGCTGTGATTCTTCTGAGATTGCTACAAAACCTATACAAGCCCCTAAACTCTAAGTTTTACCATTAGATTTAAGTTAGCTTACGTATGTAAAGCTGCCAGGGGAAAGAGAACTTCTTATTCATTTGGTTGCTTGGAAAGCTCTTGTACATTGTTTATCCCTGCTCGTACTTGAAAAGACTTACAAGGACAAATTGGTGCATGGTTTTGCTCAAGCTGTCTGTGCATTGCTTAGGGTGAAACCCTGAAAATGCGTACCAGCTAGAGAAAATGCCTTGAATGTGGTCAGTCAAGCTAAGCCTACAATAGAGAAAAATGGCTCATCCCACAAAAACTGGTCTGGTACTTGAAGCTATAGGTGACCCTATGAGCATCCTCCTCATTCTGTTTTCAGTCAGCAGTTCATGTGTAGACCTGCATTCTGGACAAAACCTTTACAGTGTCACCTCTCTTGGTCATTCTCCATTGATCTTGCTAAGACAGGAGCCCATGACTTGTTTGCAGAGAGGTTATTTTCGTGTCATTCCTTCACAGCGGTTACAGTTCAAGGAAGAAGTGTTCTTGCTGAGGAAGGGAGAGGCTGCAATGTTTCTGTTAGCTGTTCAGCCAGGTAAGGGCGCACAGTGTGCCAACACAATCCTATATGCATGGAGCATTCTTATATACATCCACACAGGGACTGCATCCAAGCATGGCTGAAGTTTTGTTAAAAGATTATTTTGAAAATACCTTTAACATAATAGAGAGCAAAACTGGCTTGATCTCTGTGTAGCCTTCAGAAGGAAAAAGGGAAAGATTGGGAAGATTTTTTCTGTCTTGTAATAGATCTGATTCAGCTCAAGGGGAAAGACACTGGCAGCTCCTCTGCTGCAAACTTGCTTTACCTTATAATGGTCCCCGTGAATTAGAATCACTACGGAACAGTCCTTTTTGACATAAATACCACAATTATATATTTAGTCATCTTGGTACAGGCAAGTGACCTGTCAAAGGTCATGCAGGAAGTATAGAACTGAGCAAGGCACTAACCTGTGGTCTTCAATAGGCACTATTCCATATAGGTGAAGCTGTTCAATGATTATACCCAAAAGTTCTAGGAACTCTACTTTTCAGAAGTGTTAGATGAGTGGACAGAGTCACTGGAGAAAGGACGGGACTGTTGCATGGCCTGGAATGTCTGTCTTTCTTAATTCTAAATAGCACAAAGGAAAAAAAAATAAAAGAAACATGTTTATAGCAACACCATCCATTTTCTGCCCTTGCAGGGCTGGACATAAGGTAGGATCAGTTTAGTAGTTTATATGTCAACATAATGGAAGTCAGAGTAAACTCAGCCACACCATCAGCTGCCACTGATAAAAACTTCTACCTATGTTAGCAGGAGCATCGAAACAAGACAAACTGTAAAATCCTAGTGGTGCTTTAGAAACCATTTAATCTTTCAAAAGATGTCATAAATAAAAGGTTTCTTTGTGAGAAAAGATCTGGAAGAACAATAAACCAGCATATCACAAAACAATCAGCTCCTGTGTTGTCATTTCTAAATGATAGGGACAGGACAAATGTGCTTGACTAAGACAGTTTAGGGAGCTCACATGAACTTTACTAACAGCCATAGACATACACACGTGAACACATTCATCTGCAAGCACAGGGCATAAGCATTGAAGAGACTCATGTAATTAGTTGGCTCGTGAAAAACAAGGAAAATACACCAATACTCGTGCAAATGCAAAAGTCATCAAAGTCAACTAATAGCTATCTATGAGGAATGCTCAGAATCTTGTGAACTCAGCAGAGAGATGTAGGCATGAGGTTCTGTATTGCCAACAGAATAAAAATACCCTTGACATAATGGAAGGTATCCTGCAATAATGTATTTCCATATAAAGACACAAATCTAAGGACAGGGAGCAATTCAGTATTGCCACAGGGAAGCCAAAACATATTTGTAAACTGCAACTCTGCTCTACATTACAAGAAAGAGAATGACGAGGGACAGACAGAGAACTGGTTTCTTATCTAGAGCAGCCTTCTAATATGAAAAGACAGCAACAGAAGATAAAGTGTGCAAACAATACAGACACCACTTTCTTTAGAAACATCAGTGAACCAGTGAGACAAAGACAATATCTGTACAAACCCACCTGACTCTTCCTACTTGGGTCATTCTTTCAAATATACCTCCAAATCACTCAAACATCAATGCTTGGAAAATGGGCTATCAATTTTCTGGGTACATTGGTACAATGGAACCTGGAAAAAGAGGACAGTTCTTTACTGATAAGCAAAGATAAGCAAAGACAGCAGAAATCTAATGAACTGCTGGCACAATATTAAGGCATTTTTAATTTCAAAAGGTTAAGCAACAAAAATATTGTACACCTCCTAAGCAATGACGTTGACTCAAGAATCAGCAAAGCAGAATGGACAGAAAAATTTGCTAAGATTTTTAAAGACGCCTACAAAAAACAAAGAAAATAGGCCATAAGGTGTTCCCAGATAGAAGAACATTTTGAATAGTTCTTGGTAAAAGTAAGCTGTCACAGTGTCTGATACTGTAGCTGGGACTACAGTTCCAGCACTATAATCAGCAAACTAAAGCACTCTGAGACCTGTGGGGTCACATGAGGATCTAACTCTTCTGGGGAAAAAGGACAGACTTACATTCCATGGGGACACAAATATAGACAGAGTCAGCACAAACATGAGGCAAAATCACTATGATGAAAGGTGGTGAAATGTTCACTGTCGTGAGATTTCAGCATCAGCTCTTAAAAATGACAGACCAGACAACAGCTATTGGAGGGAGCACTCAAACCAGAACTGCAGTGGACCAATTGTCAGAGATTTCCTGCAGTTCTTGGAGACATGCACTCTTGCCATAAGTAACTCCTTCAGAGAACTATTTGGTAATAAAACATGAAAGAGTTACTGTTCTAAACTGAGAGAAAAATATTCTCTGTTGCTAAGGAAATCAGGGCTTTTAACTCATCACTTTTTTCATAGTGGATACACATATATATGAATACAGAATATGCCTCATGATGCACATTCATGGAATGATTGCTATATGAATTGATTAACTCCTTTCATAGACATGATCTTCATATTTAGTTTTGCTGTTTACATTCTAGTAACTGCCATTCTTGATTAGAGTGGTGAGATGTTTCTTCTCTACCTCTGGGCAAAGTCTGGGTCTTAGCAACCCAGCGTATGGTTTGGTGACAGCTGATCTGGATTCTTTTCTTGTTTTTTATGCAGGTGACATTTAGCCACTGGGCTGTTCCTACTGATGTCTCTTCTGTAACTCAGTCTTCACAGATACAGACAAGAATTCTTCTGCATTTTGCATTTTGCAAATAGGTCAGTTTTAGGCAACAATCTACCTCTTTCTGGGATAACGAAGTATCATCTCATGTAGTGAAAAGTCCAATGCACCAGTACTGTGATAAGTCTCCAAATATTTTTGGTTGCTAGTCTTAGATTTTCACTCCCAAGCAAAATGTACACGCATCATAAATATAACTGCAGTGTAATGGCAACACTTGTCTTCTGCCTCCTCGGTACTCAGAAGTTTGAGGCTCAAAATAGTGATGTGCTTGCGGCATGGATAGTATTAAATAGACAGATGGTACACTGTTCTCACTTGGTAATCATACAACCCATATTTCCATAGACCTACGTAGGCAAACACGGATCACCCACTGCCTGGTAGTCAGCATGTGATTACAAAAGGTTAACTTGTTAGGCGTGCCCTGGTAATTGGGGAATTGTCAAGTGTTTTCTGCACTGCTGAGCACATTGGTGCGTGCTGATTATTTTCTAGTGTTTTAAAATACACCTTTCTCTTAAGCTTTTAATAACTCTTGCTGGAATGGAGAGACATAACAGAAACTTATGTGCATTCCAAAGAGACTTTCTTCTCTCTTAGTGTTCATATCTACGCAGCTTAGAAAGTCGTGTTCCCCTCATGCATTATAGTTGCTGACTTAATTAGTGGCATATCCTATAAACGAAGTCCAGTTTTCAGGGGAATTGCTACATTTCCTTTGAGGCTCCTTCTAACACACAGACTCATGTTGTAAATGGCCTATTTTGTTCTTTGTTTCTCTTTTTTTTCATTAAAAAATTCTATTCATTTTGTAAGTCATTCTCAATAGTGGCTGCAGTGATATTACTGTTTGGTTTAAGCACCTTTTTCCATTTAACTTTGCCAGGATTATATGACTTTCTATCCCAGGTTCTGTAGCAGTGCTTTCAGTCTCTTTGTAGCTAAGCTTATCTCAATTTTATGTCCATTTCTCTGTTTCTGAAATATTACCTTTATTAAACTTTTACTTTCTTAGACAAAATATGAAACAAGCATTGCAGAGGTGCGTAGGGAAACCCATTGTATAAACAAGCAGTATCTTATGCAGATACAAAAAAACTCTTTGCCTGGGAAATCCTCAGATATACAAAGAAAACAAAACTGCAGTTTCTCTCCACAAACACTCTACTGGTTTTGCTGGAGTTTCTCCAAATAAAAAATCAAATTTTAATACTGAGTTACTACCCAGAAATACATTCCCAGGGCTCTACGTAAAGGTTTTCCTTAATTTCCACTTCTCTGAAATAGTCTTTTTATACAAGCCTCAAAAATGCTCAAACAGAGCACTGGGAAGACTTGGTGAGGTGTATTATCTTTGATTTTTATGTTGCCCTGTGTACAAGTTTATCTGATCACATGGTGATTTCAGAAGCCTGGATCCATCACAGTTGTTAACATCAACTGAGGTTTGCAAAGTCTTTCCTTTCATCTCTCTCAGCTTGCCCTGAGACAGCAGTTTCCAAATTGATCCAAAGCAGCTATTCCTGGAATGACTATAAGGAGTAGTTGAATAATGATGACTGGGCAGAATTAATTTATTATTCTTATTGTTTTCTACATGGTCATCTCTTTTCTATGGCTCTCTATGGTGTAAGGAAAAGATCTGATTCTTTTTAAAAAAAGAAAATAAATCACACTGATTTCTCTAGGTTCTGATTCAGGGTCTGTGCCCTATTTTAGTCATAACCTTGTTGGGTTCCTGAGAACAACAAGTGCACTGAACAATATCAAAAAAGTTCAAATGCTGAGAGCTGCAACAGTTGATTAACTCACAAATGAATCCCCAATTTTTATGTTCCTCAAAAATTTTGTACTATAGTATTGGGAGCCATTCCAAATTTCAATGTTTTGCTGGCTAATGAGTGGTTTTTATGGTTATATGGTTGTGTGTATGTGATGATATGGACCCAAGAAAATTATCAGCCTTGTTAGTGGCTCTGAGTCCCATCTGTATTCTGCAGCGCACAGCTCTCATTCTCTATTTTTCTTTTGTAGGAAAGTGTTTTAATTCCTACTGGAGTTCCTACTGTGAAATCATTTTTGGAGAAGAAGAGAAACTGATACTGATGGAGACACTAATGCATCTGCCTTAAGGCTATTCTTTGTTTTTCTTTTTCTTTAGCACAGCCAGCCTGGCCCAGCAAAAGGAAACAGGATGTTAGAAAAGGTACATGGTTTCTTCATCCTTTTGTTTTCATAAACAAACAAACAAAAAACCCTACTGAGGGATCAAACTCCTTCAAGTATCAGCATTTAAACTAGTTGCCAGATATCTGGTACTGAAACTAAGCCTCCTTGAAGAGACTTGATTTCTTACACCTTCTTTTGCAACCTCCAGTACTAATTGGTGCTCAAGATACATGCTGGACTAATTGGATTTTGTATTTGTTTCCACCAGCAAAACCTTTCCCTATCTTCAATAAGTTATTTAGTCCTTTGTATGGATGGATGATCATTAATACTGATTCTTACTAAGCCTCTACATACACACACACAAAGACATATATTTACAATGTGCAATTACTTTCATTTTACTTGATGGAGTTATAGAGTGATCTATTGAGACATGACAGTGTGTGCATGTTGTAAATAATTCAAGAGCAAAAGAAGCTGCATGAGCCTTCAGAATAAATATTGCACATCACCCAAGCTCAGATAGACGTTTGATTTACTTCCTTAAAATTCCTCAGGTAGCAAAAGAGATATGACCGAGAAGTTTAAAACTAGAGTTTAGCTAGAGATAAAATATTTTCTCTCCCTCCCTCAAAGTCTGCTTCTCAGTAAAGTCTTAGTCTTTACTTGCTAAATAACATTAGATTTTTAAAAGTGTGATGATGCCTTAGTACCTGAGTCCAACAGAGAAATCATGAGCGTTCATAATTTCCAATACTTTGTCAAGGCAAAGAAAAGATTTGCAGCATTTTGGATTCTGTAGTAATGATTTTCAGTTGTATCTTCTTTTTAAAAAAGTAAGAAAAGTAAGAGTTAGGATTACTTACTACTGTAAGATAGCATTTGAAAATCATTGGTGAGCATGTCAATGCTCAGTGTCTTTTTGTCAGGAGTGACTTAGTGTAATCCCCTCCACGAAGCTCTGAGCCAGGGGCACTGTCTCAGGGACAGAAAAATGCAGTCTGGATTTCATGTAACTCTACTCACATTAATTGGTTCATCTGCCTGTTCAAATGTGGGGAAAAGTATCAGACCCTCGACATGATTATTATTTTGTGTGTGACTTTTAGGTGGTTTTTTTTCTGGATGACTCTGACTTGCTCAGAGACTCGATGATGAGCTGAAAGACTTTTCTTTTCTTAGCACTTGGTCTAAGGTCCATCAGTCAGTGAGCAGCAACTCAGAACCACTGAGAAAAGCAGAAAGGTAAAGATACGTTTTTAAACAAGAGATTAAATGGGTTTTCATTTTCCAAACCCTGCAGCAGTGCAAATCCCAAAGGCTGGGGGTTGCTGCATTCCCACCTCAAACAAGTGGCATAACAAGATGTGTGCCATGGCAGTTCTACAGCCATGGCATGTGGCAGAGTAGGCTGTGCCAGGCGGAGAGCAAAAGGAAAGCAGGAGGCAGCCTCGCTCTGGAAGTTTCTGATCTGTTCTGGGGGACAGAAACAACTAAAACGAAGCTGTGCCCTTTCACTCGGTTTTCTTGGTAAAGTCAGAGCTAAGCCTCTGGAGATTTTGTGGGTTTGCTTTGCATATAATAAAAATTAATTAATTAGGGTTAATTTAAAACCTGAAAACAAATTTTAAGGCTAGTTAAATCTTCTAGAATTCTTGCCTTTTTTTTTTTCCCAATTAATTTGTTAGAGTTTGGAAGGCTAAAATAGAAAATACAGTTCAATTACACAATAGCTCGCTATGAAACATTTACCTCAATGATCTGATTTATTTCCAGCCTATCAACTATCTTGATAGTTTGTGCAGGAAAATTACTATAGATTTCCAACAGGGAGAAAAACAAATTGCACAAAACACAGCCCAACTCTCTTCCTTTGCACAGCCAATGCCAACAGCATAACCAATTCTGTGAGACTCTATCAGTCACAAGGCTAAAATGCAACTTTTTTAAATGATTGTGAAATGGACAACAGATCAGTTTTCTCCAGATTATTTAGCCATACTGTTATGCTTTATTTTGTGTGCATATGTGCATAGGAAGAATTGCATAAATTATCTTTTCTCAAAAGCTGTAGAGTGAATATATTTTATGATGACCATTACAACCTGTCTGATGCCCTGATGCTCTGCCATCCAGTTGTGAATTGACCTGGTTGTTTGCTCTCAAGACAGCTGGGTATGGGTAGGATCTGCTACTCAGGATTTGCTGGTAGCAAGGTCTTGCCTGTGTTCCAAGCCTCAGTAGACCACTCCCCTCATGCTCCCCTTACAATTTACTGAGGTTGTGGGCTATGTGGATATCTCATTTACCATCTGACCCTCTGTGTAATCCTCCAGCAGGAAGGCACTCCCAGCAGTGCATGGTTAAATCACTATTTCAGGCTCATAGGATCTGGCCTGCCCTCCTTCACCTTGAGGTGTTCCTAATGTGCAGTGGCAGCTGTTTACCTGCACAGAGCAAACTTTCAAGTCTCTGAGCAAGAAGCTCCATCAGTAATGCTTCCATCTCCTTGTGGATCCCTGTGAAGAAGAAAACCATTGTTTCAAAGAGAAAGACTTTGGAGAAACTGTCAATCAGTATAAGCTCAGTTGGTCCCAAGGGCAACCTTTAGAGCAAGTTCTGGGCACCCTTCCAGGGAGGGCAGCTGTGGACACTGGAGGCCACCCAGGGCAACAATGGGCAAGTGTTCAGTGTGCAAGTCAAACCAGAGCTGTCAATTTGCTAGAGGTGTATCCCACTCCGCAGTCTACAACTATAATTTTTTTTAGTGGCCACTGATAATAGGAATGACTCTTCTTTTAATAATCGAGATAATTTTCGATGCTAGGGAGAAGTTTTAGACATCTCCCAGGACATTTCCTTTGCCCACATGTGAAAGTACGATGGTTTTAAACATGATCTGAAGGGCTGCGAAGAGCAAATAAACCCCAAATCCCTAATGCTCTGTTTCTGAATCTGTTCTGAACAGAACATTTGCTGTGGAATATTTAAACATTGTAAGTGTTTCTGTGGTCAATTTGCCGATGCCTGAAGTGAATATGATATTCATTACAGAGGTTTATTGGAGCTTTTCTTGCCCAGAACATAGCTGAAACATTGGATTTTCCTTTGTTACCTCCATACAGACAACACATAATTCAGTAAAGCTAAGGCTGAGTAAAGTTGCAGGAAAATGTTTTATGATGTGAGCACAGGCAAAAGCCATGAGTTATTCCTTCCCATGTTTGAGAGAGGTAATTATGGTATTGCAGGATATATAGTGACAGATGGACAAAGGTATGCTTTTATATTTATCCACAAGTATAATTTAATACCCACTTCTGAGCAGAATGCTCTGTGTATTCATTTGCATAATTGGAAGGGGCTTGCCATATCTAGCTGCATTTTTACCTCCAGTAATGCTAATCTTCTTTTTCCCATAGTCTGATTAAATTTTGCAAGTATCTTGGATTACAACTCTTCAACATTCATAGCTCACTGCTATCAGTAGGGATTGATTTGTTTGAGGAAGCTGCTGTTGCTGACCCTCAACAATACCATTTCAGTTGCCTGACCTTGCTGATAAGAAACTCCTGTGTGGTCATCTCCAAAGACTGGTGTTATCTCCTGTGTCAGAAAGGACTTTAGCTACTGAAAAGTTTGCACAGAGAAGTTTTATTTTCTTGTCCCAGGGAAAAAGGTGTCCTCTTGTCACTTATAAGCAATAAGTACAAACAGATACTCAACAACAGCTCAATTAATTATCCATTTTTTAATTTCAAGTTACCCCAAAGCATGTCTCTGGATTTACTGATAGATGACTTACTTTTATGTTTAGCTGCCTCCTCACTCCATTGTTTCCATGGTAACAGCTCTGAAACATTGCTTCTTTCTGAGGAGATGAAATGTAAAGTGGCTGGAATATTTGAGTGTTTAAATATTTAAATGAAAACAACAGAAAAATGGTGGAGTGAGTCAGACATGACAGGTAGGTGACACCCACAATAGCTGCTATTAAATTGGACTATGGGGTAGTGCCACCTTTGCTGTTCTCCTACTACAGGCTGAAAAGAGCAGCCAGCTGAGCGGACCTGTGCTGAACCCAGGCTGCCCTGATGCTAAGAGGCAGCTGAGCACACTTATGACCAAAGCTAGCTGAAAGAGCCTGCTGCTACCCCTGCAAGGAGTTAGGAATAGCATAGAAGTTAATTTGCAGGAGTGCTATATTTGTTATTTGCCAGTGATAAATATTTCTTGTTAAAATTGGCAATCACTACAAATTTTTCTGGTATTTTTCTGTGAAGTCTGTTAAGAAGTTAACATGGAAATACTGTAAAAAGTAATCCTGCCAACGCTTGAAAACACATCAGTATTTGATTTGAACGTGCCTTTTCATTAATGGTAATGAACAGGAGTTATCTGGGTTTAGAGGAGGCCGTGCTACAGGCGTGGACATTTTTGTAGACATAAAGGGAGCTTTTATAGAGGATAATCTTCTTAAAGTACTGCAGCTACAGTGATGTCTCCCTCCTGCTACACCAACCCCTTTCAAATTCGCAGTACAAGACGATCTTCCAAGTGGATGGATGTAGTGGTGCTCATTTCCCCAGATGAGGTTGTTTCACTCACTCTCCTGATCCACTTTGATTAAGGTTCCCTTTGTCTGCTCCCACAGATGACTGTGCCTGGCCTGCTTGCTTAGAACCATCTCCTGTTCTTGTGTACCAACCAAAGCTCTCCCTTCCTTCTCTTAAATGCCTGCTTAGACAAATACCTTTCCCCTGACTGTTCTGAACCTGGACTCTGAACCAGTCTTCTCTGTTCTCCTCTCTCTTGTCTGAACATAATGGGGAGTAAATTAACCCTCCTTTCTTATCTTTTCCACAGGAAACAACGTGAAATATCAATGAAATAAATGCTCTGAACTCCTCATACAAAACACTCCATTGAGCACTATTCCCACTCACTTGATTCCTCTGATTGCCATTCCATCTCGACTATCATTTTACGATATTTTATACACTGAATTTATCTTCCCTGGGCACGGTTATTTTCTTCCTACTGTCTATAAAAGAACCTGATTTCTACTAACTTTACAGAAGTAAATGGTAAGAAGATTCTTCCCTTCTCTGATTGACAGTTATGACAGTTCCTCTTAGCTTTAACATAATAGATTTTCAATAGAATAAACTTTTGTTTTTGAAAGTCTGTGGTCAGATGAGGGGAAAAATTCCCAGAACTCCCCAAGTTATGCTCACTAACAGTGTTAAAAAAAGATGCCAGCCAAAGTAGGAGGTGTAAATTTTCTTAACGTTATTCACCATCATTTTATTTTAAAAGCTTTGATAGGCAGTCAAACAGCAATTTCAGTATAAAAATGGATATTAAGTTTCAGAGCAAGCCCACTCAAGATTAGGGAGAGTTGAAGTTGCCTTAGGAAGAGGGAATGAACAGGATGACCTTTCCAGGTTCCTTCAAGCATATGTTTTACAAGTATCTGAATAAAGACAGGTCTTACCTTTTCAATATTGTTGTTTCATGGACATCAGTTACCAGGACATACACTCCTTCACTTGCTTATATAGTGTTTGGAGTCTGCAGTTGTTTTTTTTCCCCAATCACTAAGGATGAATACTCACTCTTCTCTTCCTAATCTAATGAGGAAAAGGAGCTACCCTGTTGAATCTCTCCCAGCTACCCCAACAGGGCTTTCACTGAACCTCTTCAGCCTTCATGCTTTCAAGCACTGACATCATCTGAGGCTTTTTTTGTGTGAGAATTCTCCACAGCTTCCTCCTGTGTATTCATAAGATCACAGCAGCCTGTGGTTTGGGCTAGCAACACATAGCTGTTGAAAATTTTTCTCACTGTAATGAATCAATTTTTGCTTAGTTAATGATCCTTCTCATTCTGAGGGACTAGCAAAGGCTTTTGGAAACAGATCCCAGCAGGTATGAAAGCTGAACAAAAGTGTGGTTGATTGAGGTGTGTGAAGATGTCTCCTCAGTAGCTGTTTTGAATTTCACTTATTTCACAGACATACAAGAACTTTCCAAAAGAAAACAAATGGAGAACATTTTATGGAACTGAATTTAGTTTCTTTACCTGGGAGAGGAATGAAATTATGGACAGCAAACAAATGTGTTGTATAGTGATGGAAAAATGCTGCAATTAGCCTGCAGAGCTTTGACCTGCCCCTATCCCTTGTGTTTAGCATGATGGCAGCTAACCTTGCTTCTTACAGTTATAGGTAAGCACAGTCAAATTTCCCAAATCCTCTGGGAATAGGGAATCAACAGTAAGCTCGAACTCCCGTGTTTGAAGAGATTTGAAGAAGAGGAAGGAATTCTGTTTACAGAGAGAAGAACAAATGAAAAATTTGCACTGGGTCTAGAAGATCAAGAGGTGAGGGACAAAGTCATGTGTAGCAAAGAGAGGGAAAGCATATGGGAAGCAGAGAAATAGGCAATGATTCTCTATTACTCTGCTCTCAGAGTGCGAGTAATAGAGAGCAGAGTAATAGAGAATCACTGGCAAAATGAAAACACAGTAAAATCAATGACACTGGGATTCAGTGGAGACAGCAAACTTGAGAAACTGAGAAAGAAAGAATGGTATGTGTGTAGGGGAGGATATGCCATGTAACAGTCCTTGCAAGTTAACCCCCATTTCAGTATGGCTTTATGCATGTGCATGAGTTCTTCAAATCTGGCAAGCATTTAATCAGATGCCTATATCCTTGAGAAACCTAGTGGGTGTTCAACACAGATGCTGTGATGAATTTGGAGGGCTTAGACCATACTGATTTAAGGGGGCAAATATTGAGGTTTTTCTAACAAACTCCCTTTTTTAGGTAGATGTTGACTGAAACCTTATGGGCAGAAGAACATATTGAATACTACTAATGTGCATCATGTCTCCTCATTCTGTCCTGCAACAAGACATTTTGGCAGACTTAGAGAAATAAATAGGGCCAATGTACCTGAACTAAAATGTATTAACAGCACACATGGGACATAAGGAGCCACCTGACCTTATTTTCTTATAGCTTAAAGGAGATCACATCAAGTGTCTACATCTGGTTGGTACCTTTTATTCTTACTGTATGGCAGAAAGATTATAGTCATCAGCTTGACCTCCTTCCTGGGCTTATGTGAGGTTGTTTATGGCATGTAGGATATGATGAATTCCTGCTTGTAGCATCTCTACATACTGTGGGAGAATCCCATTATTTTTGGTTGACTACTGATGAACTCCCAAGTAAGGGCGTGGCTCTTAGCTAAGCATTGAATGTAGGGTGTAATCACAAAAGCTCGTCAGAAAAACAAAGTAGCATTACTCAAGATTATTAAAGAGAAATCAGCAGCAGGAAGACTGCAAGATACAAAACACAAGGGAGGAATTGGGTAAGGTAAAGAGAAATGTGGTTCCATATTACAGTGTAAGACTGCCTTCTTCTTCATAGCATTTTAATTTTGGTTCATGGTTGAATTAGTTGCAGCCTTGGAAGCAAAACAAAGGCCTGAGTTAAATTGCAGAAATAACTCTGTATTAAGGCAAAGTTTTGCCTTTGAAGCATGCAAAAGTCTAATATGATAATACAACTCACAACTGTCCACTAGAACTCAAAAATGAATGGGAGATAAAAATCTGACAATTCAATGTCTATTGGGGATCTTAACACAAGGATGATCCTAGGTACTACAGTTGGAGCTTCTCTGTAAATACAGTGGTCCCAGTTCAGGATTTACCCATTACAGAGACTCTGGTCAAACCCTCAGTGCCGATGCCAACACTGGATCTGTTTTCTAAATTTCAAGTATGGTTCAGCAAAGCACTTTTCATCAGCTCCTGAAGAATCATGTGGGTATATATACACACCTAAGGAGGTATGGTGGCCTGAATTACCGTTCAACATTTAAATATTGACGTACTAATATTTGCTTTCTGCAAGCTTATATTGTTAAGTCATATTTGTGTGTCCTCCTTTCCCAGGGACCTAAATAAGCACAGGATTGCTCCTTCCTTGATAGCCAGGTGATTATGGACAGCACTGAGCTGAGGTTGTCTCCATGACTCCCTCATATAAACCACCTGGACAAAATAGCAAAGGACAATAGCTTTCCTCTCAGTAGAATTTGAATGGCTTATGGGATATCTTCTGATCTTTTTTAAGAGAACATTGTTGGCTTTTCTTTGATATTAACATTTGATCGCGTGGACAGGACAGGGGGATTGATACATGGATGCTGTTTATATCAGTTAGAAAAGCTGGAGTTAAACAGGCTCCTAGGGCTGGTTGGGTGCTTGTCACAAACAATCATCTCCTAATCATCCAGGCTTCTCAGATGATGCACTCTCAGCTCTTCTGTGCTGGAACAGTCTTCATGGACAACTTACAGGGCCCCAGTTTCTAGTTGCATGGCTGTGCTGCTGCTTTTTCCACTCCCTTTAGGAGGTGCCATAGAGAATTAATCCAAGCATACTTCTCCTTCCACCCTCAGCAGCATCAATATTTTCTTCTCAGATGAGCTGCTTTCATGGATCTCCTGTGAGACGTTCCCTAATTCAAAGCCTTTGGCTGTTACTCAGTTCAAGATACTAATTGTGCTTGAGATGAAAAACAAGCAAATTTGGCAGTGCAAGATGAAACTAGCATTAATATATGCTTCTAGTGAGACATTTTGGCGTAGAATATACACAGAAGTGAAATGATCACAATGATAAGCACAGTAACAAGAAAGAATTGTTTCTTGCATCTGGCTTAAAGACAAGTGCTATTTAATATTTTCTTCCTCTACAGTTTGTTTTGATGATATTTCCCAAATACCTTTAATTTTCAAAATGTGATTCTTTCAGAATTCCTAGACCTGATCTGGAAAACATTTTGTTGTTACTATAATGGAAACAGAACATCAAGGGTATCACCATTCCAGTCACTGTGAAGGCACCACTCAGAAAACCATGTGTGTCTCATTCTTTCTTTCTTTCTTTTTTTTTTTTCTTGAGACTATTAATGGAAGACCACATTGAATTTATATACAGATCTTCTGGTTGCAGTAAGAGATAGCAATAATTTAAGATTTAAAAAATGAATGTAAAATTATGTAATGCCACCTTAGGCAGAAAGCATCTGCCTCTTTTTTGCCCCCATCACTGGATCACTATACTCTCACATGCAGCATGGATGTCTCAAATAAGATGAAAAGGTTGGGACACGATTGCAGTAACAACCTCCACGTGAATGGCTCGAATGTACTCAAACAGACCCTCGAGGTGCAGGTCCTGACTACTGATGGGGAGAGGTAACTGGAGCTGAGTTCTGCAGCACACCACATCCTACACGAAGCGTTCCCAGACACATTTCACAAAAACAACCCACCAAAATAAAAATTATTTGGAACTCTGTTCCGAAAGCTTAGTATTCAAGAACAATTTTGAGGCTGCCCTGTGATCACCAGACTGATTAAAAATGCTAATCAGAAGCTTGTATGATTAGGAGATTAGTACTGTCTGAACTTTGATCTGCCTCATTTGTGTACACAGGAGAGGGAGCGACACACACCATCATGGGTAGCAGATTTCTTCTGTGTGAGGGAGTCACAAGAGATCTCTTCACGTTTTTGGGTTTTGTTTCTTGCTTTCAGTTGCTCACAGGGAAGGCCTCAGGGTTTCTATAGTCACTAACTGTTACCTTTAAAACAGACAACTTTTTAACAGCCAGAAAAAGGGAAAAAAATGTGTCTGAAAAAGGCAATATTATAATTGCATTCCTGTTACTAACCATGTGGTTTGGTTTGATCCATGTGATGTTCATAGGATCCGACAGAATTAATGAAAATCCCTCACATGTGAAACTCAGGATTTCTAACAATGGTTTCACTTCCATGGTCTTTGTGTAAACATCCCATAGATGCACATATGGAATACCTGTGAATCACGGCCTCACCTCCAGACCCAAATTTACCTCAATTCTAACACACTTTCATTGCATGTCTTAATATCACTAACTCTTCAGATCAGGAGTGCCATGGCTTTGAAAATGTCATCAGGGTAGAGAGTAAGTAAGAGAATAAACATGGTAAATATAAAAATCACAAGCAATCTCCATGAGCTGCAGGAAGAGACCCAACCATCAGGACAACTTCTCTGAAGCCATGGCTTTTATCAGTGAAGAATGGTCAGGCATTGGAACAAGCTACTGGGAATTGCTGGAATCACCATGTCTGGAAGTGTTCAAAAATATGTAGATGTGGCACATGGGAACATGGTTTAGTGGTGAATGTGTCAGTACTGGGTTAATGGTTGGACTCAATGATCCTACAAATATTTTCCAACCTTAAAAATTCCATGATTCTAAGAAGATTATAAACTTACAGCAAGTGAATACTGAAAAAAACAACAAATCTCTGCAATACCCTCCAGTGTCACCATCCTTCTATTGCTAGACAAAATCTTCATACAGAAAACTACAGTCTTATTAAAGCTCTTACTAAACACAGAAGAAGAGAATGGCAGACTGGTGTTCACATTACCACTTTGGATGGAAGAAGAGGCTTTAGTCCCAGAAAAGAGGTGATGGAAAGCCATGTGAAGAATTGTCTTTCAGGTATTATGACAGCTGACAGGGTATGAAGTGGCATCTCTACTGACATGGCCAACCAACACCTTCACTGGAGCTCGAAGGTCTTCAGTGAAAAAAAAACCCAGTCCACTGTAAAGGACAGTGCTGATCTAAAGCCTTTCATTTGCCTTTATCCAGACTCCAATGCCTTTGTGTCTAACTAGCCCGCAAGTTTTTTGGTCAGGGATGGCTTTCACCATTCTCGGTTCAGAACAGATAGAATCTGGGTTCAGCTGTGAGATTTCCTATAAGGTCATGGAGAGAAAGAGACATAATCGGACTTGTAATCTTCTCTATTACCTTCTTTGTAGTAGGCAAGAGCTTTCAGAGTTATTTTTCCTATCTCAGCAGCTATAAAGGGAATGGAAGAGAGGAGACTGGAGTATGTCTCAACGTCATTCTTCTAACATGCAGCTGTTTTCCTGCTTTAATGTAAATCAGAAAGTCAAAAGCCCATCAGAGCCTAGGTGCCCAGGGAGCATGAACAGTTCAGACACACAAGTTTCCTTAGCTATGTGCATGCAAGCAACAAGGTTAACACAACTGCTTCTCTTTGGTTCCCCAGCTAGAGTAATGCCTTTTGCACTTGAGACAACTGGCAGTGTTCAGCATGAATCTAAGAGCAATTTCACATGCAGTGTGTACCACAGCATCCTGAGCACTGTGCTGCTGAATCTCACTACAGTGGATAGAATTCACAAGCAAAATTAAAAAACACATTAGAACAATGATGGGAAAGCAGAGCATTGGTGATATTTAATTTGTGATTATTTGTTTTAGTAGGCAGGATATCTGTATTGTAATTATGACACCATTAGAAACAATGCCAGATAGGAAGCATTGTATGCTCTCAAGCACATGGACAAAGATCCAGAGGGAATCACCTGAAAGGCCTCCTGTTGTAAACCAAATGCTGTATGGAAAAGAAGATCAGATGAGTTAATCCCGTTTTGCCTACATGCGCTTCCTCACACGCACAGTATTTCTGGGAGGACTACATGAACTGATGCCTGTGCTGTAGGAGGAAGTTCCCAGAACTGCTCTCGTTGGCTAACAGTAACCACTTAATTAATGTAAACATCAAATTTTAGTTAAAAAAAGAAGCAAAATCCGCTGTGGCACAGTCTGGAACTAAGCAGCGTTGCACAAAATGGGTCAGTAATTTGTCGTCCTGAACACCACACGTTCGTTGCAGTGCAAACTGCTTGCAGAAGCATCATTTTCCCCATGGAAATCCATCTTGAAACGCATCTCCTGGAGGCAGCTGGAAGAACCCCGAGCCATCAGTGCCCGACGCCCCTCTCACCGCGGCACTCTGGCGCTCCCCTTCCAGCCCTGCTGCCCTCCGACCCGCTCCAGCGGCCGCCCTCGCAACCCAGGCGACCCCATCCCTGCCCCGGATCCCGGTCCGCATCCCGGCTCCGCGGCACCTGCCGCTGCCCGCTCCCCTCCGCGCACCGATGGCCCCGCCAACCGCGGCACCGGGAGCGGGTCATCCCTGTCCCGTGCAGGGGAAAGGATTCATTTCGCCAGTTATTCGTTCCCCCCCGCCCCGCGGTGGGGGAGGGCACACGCGCGTTGCCATGGGTGCCAGAGGAGCACCCAGAAAGTTGCGGGAGAGGGGCGGGGAGAAAGGGCTGGGCCGCCCGCCGGGGCTGAGTGGCCACTCGGCGCCGCGCTGAGAGCCCGCGGGCGGCTGTGACGCCCACCTGCCGCCCACGGCTGGCGGCGGGGAGGGAGGGAGGGAGGACAGGGATAAACTTCAAACTTGGCCGGGCGGGCGGGCAGGGAGCAGCCTGGATGTGTCCATCGTTCCTCGGTGCTGACTCGCAGCCCTCGGCGCGCTGTGGGGCGGGCGCTGCCCGAGGAGCTTGGGGCGCCGCCGCGCCGCTTCCTCCGCCGCCGGCCATGGTGCGTGTGGGGCTCGGGGCTCAGCCCGGCCCCTGAGCGCGACGCCTCCCCCCGCCCCGCTCCGGGGCTGCCGCCGCTTCCCCGCGCCCCCGCCCGCCGCCACCTGCCTCTCCGCCGCGCCGCTGCCGACCTGAGGCCCTGGGCATCGCCTTTTCTCTGCGCTGCAGCCCGCCCGCTATGGAGCCGCCCGCGGGAAGCTGCCGGGAGTGAGCCCTGCTTTTCCCATCGACCCCGCTGGCCGCCCCCTCGGCGCCCGCGCTCGCTCCGATGGAGCCGGAGGAGACGCCGCTCGCCTCCCCCAAGACCATGATGCTTATGCTGAGGAAAGTTCGCAAGAGGCGGGAGATGCTGCTGCAGCAGCTGGGCTTCATCTGCGCCATCCTCTTCTTCGCCTGGTGCATGTCCAGCCTGCTCTCCAGAGCGGGTGAGTGGCGGTGACGGCGGGACCGGCGGACCCCGGCAGGGCCGGGCGGGCGGCTGGGGCGGCCCGGGGGCTGCTGCCGCCTCAGGAGCAGCCGGGGTTTGGCGGGGTCAAGCGGCGGCGGCTATTCCCGTTTTGAGTTTCCCAGTGGAAATGCCCCGGCGGGCGGGGGAGCAGCGCGGGTTCCGCGGGAGAAACCCCTGTGCCGGGCGGATGCGTGGGGTGATGCGGATGTCCCGGGGAGAGGAGGCAGCTGCGCCGCTGGCACCTGGGGGTCCAGGGCTCCCTGACCCCGAGTCCGCCGTTCCTCTCGGGCCAGGGACCGAAGGGGCATCACGGGGCAGCTGCGTGCCTGGGAACGGCCCTGGAGGAGTTCCCCCCTGCTGCTGCATCAGAGTTGAGTTCTCTCCAGCGGCTTGTGGTCCCCGTTGCAACTTCGGGCCACCTTTCATTTTGTCCTGAGGTTGTAAACCTCCATCAGCTACAACCGCTGCTTTTCTCAATCTCACACATGCACGTAACATCTTGCCCCCTCATTACAATATGAATTTGATAGAAAAATCTGCATTTTAGCCAAGGAACAGTGTTAATCTCATGTTTTGTAGAGAGAGTATTATAGAGAGTCTTGTGCATCCTTTGTGCAGGTGCTGTGTTGGTAAACTGATGCATTTATAATTAACCACATGGTTGGGCTGTAAGTGTGCAGCTTCAGGCCCTCTTCATGCAATATGCTTCACATCCCTCAAATACAAAGTCTAAGGTTGCTGAGGCAGCACTTGGGTCCCTAAGTAAGGGCTGCCAACAGTCTTTGAGGATTTAAGAATAAAAATCAACTAAACCCAAATTTTATGTCCACATTTAGTATAAGAAAATCAGATTTCAGCACAATTAGGATGGGCCACATGCCTAAATTAGAGCTGAAGTTCAAGTGTATGCTTTAGGAAGAAAAATCTGCTGGACCTTGTCATACTTTGTAATGCTCTTGTGCTCAAATTATTGCCTGGGTTGTTTGAACTGTATCTAGGATGGCAGTAAGCCATCCACATAAGAATTCAGCATCTTAGACCATGTTAGCATATTGCTCATCTTTAAACTTTCAACTTGTTTTTTAAAGTGTAGATTTAGAGTATACAGTTGATTTCTTTATTTAGAACTGTTTGTCATGCCTATGGGGTTTTTTCTCTTGTACCAGCTATTTATTTTCATAAACTTACTGGTTTGTGAAAACAAATAATGGGGGTATGAATATGTTTGCATATTTAAGGGTTTTTTTTGTTGAAGTTATTGTTTTTCTAGAACTTTTTTAGGTTTACATGAAAAATGTCATGACTAATGAAAGTTTTTAATCTCATGGGTTATCAACTAAATCCCTCATAACCTAATTTTTTATGGTATGCTGCATCAGGTAGTTTTTTTTTTTTAGCTGGCTAATTTATAATACATATTATCCATAAACACTGACCATCTGTTCTCTATGTTTCTTATAATTGTGGCTCAGAATATTTTAGCAAATACTCTAGAAAATCTAACTTCCAGGCTATATTTTTTTTGCAAGAGTTATTGTAACAAAACACAACCGTTACATGATGACTGAATATAAACTTTAAGATCAACCATGAAAAAATTTTTGTTATTATAATACGTTCATTTGAAAAGGATAAGATTGAGGTGGAAGTGATTTAATTAAGAGGTTCTGTTCTTTCTTTGATTATTATAATTGCATACCTTACATTATCACAAGTGCTGCTGTACTCTATTTAGCAGGTTTCATGGAGAATACTTCTGGAATATGAGTTGAGGCAAAAGCTCCATAGACTTCTAAAGAAGTTTGTTTTTCTTTAGACGAGAGTTCACTGTGCAGTTACTTTCCATTTTCTTTGACAAGTTATGAATGGTCTGATATTACCAAATATACCCAACACCGAAAAGTTCAGCGTCTGGACTCAGAATAAACTAAAATGCAACTGGAACATGCCCACATGCATTTTTATCTTTTTCTGAAAGCAGTGATGGAGTTTATGCAAATGCAGATGAAAAAATGGAAGTGCGGTTGTTGCTTATGTCGGCATTGCTGGGCTGGTTTCGTCTATAGGAACTGCTAAGTGTTGGCTTTCACAGGTACAGGCTTCAGCACTTGCTTGCTGCAGAGTATTTTCCTGTTGTGGGTCACAGCCGTTCTGATGACCAGGGAATGTTAACAGCTTGGATACTGCACCTTCATAGCTGGTTACACCCTTTGTAGGTGGGAGCACCCGGCATGCGCCTGTTGGCACGTGCTCCAGTCACATCTCGATTTTGCTGCGCTTATGTTCTGATGGTCTGCCTGTGCTCCTCCCCAGTGGGTGCACGCAGTCCAGTTAGGATGACATAGGAAAAAAACCAGCATCAGTGAGCGTAACTTCTTTGTATTTAATACAGGACGAGAACCAATTGTTGCAGACAGAGGTACCTTATCAGAACTGTGGAGGAATAGAAGGTTGATGGCATCACCTAATGGGACACATGAAGAGAACTGTACAGAGCCAGGTAAGACGGGAAAACTTTGTGATGTTTTGAGATGTATTGGGTAGTGCCATCACGACCAAACTGCAGTGATGTGTAAACATTAGAGTGTTAAACTTAAAAAAACCCCAGGACTGTTCTATGAAGAAATAAGGTTTATAGTGCTATGTAATGACATGATTTTATCTATCAAAGGCAAGAGTTAATGTTCAGATGAAAGAATGTTTTGGGGGTCATTATGAGACTAGT